CTCTAAATAATTAACATTATAAGGATGTGATGGCCTCGCCTGTCGCATACGACTTATGTAATCCATTGGTGAATACATCGGTGGATTGTTCTAATGTAGAGTGGACGGTGTCTACCTCCATACTTTTTACCTTTGTTATTTGTTGAATTCCAATTGCAAGCGATCAAAGTAAATAGTAGAATCTATGTAGTGTAAGTGGTATGTGCATACATATGTATGTATGTATTTAGTTGGTTTATAATTATTTTTTACATCGAAATCAAAGCACACTCATCTACCATCAAAAACAGTTATAAGCAAGTAAGCATATACCCGCTTTTTCAGAGTATTTCTAGTACTGCGAGCACATAGCTGTTTTTGATCAGTTCTAAACCAAATGAGATATAAGAAAACGACAAATTCAGAAATGTGGGCAATACATAGTGTTAATAAAATATGCAGTAAAAAAATTTAAAAAATCACATGACTGTTTTTGTTGGCGCTGCGACGATTTGTTTTAATGATATTTTATGTATTTTCACTCTTAAGCGACCGAGTCTTGTGTTTTATTTATGAAAATATGTCCATAGGTGCCACGGCCGTATCACCGAACCACTTTTTGCCAAGTTTTAACGTATTATATTTGTTGTTATTGAACTTTTGTTATATCTTTAAATAAAAATATAGTTCGTTCTTTAACAAAGCGCGGAAATCCATGTTTCCAAATTTGAGCAGTCCACTTGCAAAGGCGATATGTAATTTTTTTTAGATTTTTAGTTTTTGGCGAGTAACGTACCAGTATTTAAAGTAGTTTCATGTCCACTAACAATACAGTGCAAAATCTTTATATTTTCTGAAAAAATAGCATCNGCTTTCACTGTATATACAATAAATAATTTCATATGCATACTCTAAATAATTAACATTATAAGGATGTGATGGCCTCGCCTGTCGCATACGACTTATGTAATCCATTGGTGAATACATCGGTGGATTGTTCTAATGTAGAGTGGACGGTGTCTACCTCCATACTTTTTACCTTTGTTATTTGTTGAATTCCAATTGCAAGCGATCAAAGTAAATAGTAGAATCTATGTAGTGTAAGTGGTATGTGCATACATATGTATGTATGTATTTAGTTGGTTTATAATTATTTTTTACATCGAAATCAAAGCACACTCATCTACCATCAAAAACAGTTATAAGCAAGTAAGCATATACCCGCTTTTTCAGAGTATTTCTAGTACTGCGAGCACATAGCTGTTTTTGATCAGTTCTAAACCAAATGAGATATAAGAAAACGACAAATTCAGAAATGTGGGCAATACATAGTGTTAATAAAATATGCAGTAAAAAAATTTAAAAAATCACATGACTGTTTTTGTTGGCGCTGCGACGATTTGTTTTAATGATATTTTATGTATTTTCACTCTTAAGCGACCGAGTCTTGTGTTTTATTTATGAAAATATGTCCATAGGTGCCACGGCCGTATCACCGAACCACTTTTTGCCAAGTTTTAACGTATTATATTTGTTGTTATTGAACTTTTGTTATATCTTTAAATAAAAATATAGTTCGTTCTTTAACAAAGCGCGGAAATCCATGTTTCCAAATTTGAGCAGTCCACTTGCAAAGGCGATATGTAATTTTTTTTAGATTTTTAGTTTTTGGCGAGTAACGTACCAGTATTTAAAGTAGTTTCATGTCCACTAACAATACAGTGCAAAATCTTTATATTTTCTGAAAAAATAGCATCAAATATTAACTACTATTGCAAAAGTCGCTATAATACTTATTTATACACTTTCAAAAATCTCCATCTTCTGATGAACTCAGAAAACTGCAAGAACACGTGGTAGTTTCGGTGCCTAGTGGAAGGCGTCGTAAAAAAGAAGCAGACCAATCTTCATGGAAGAGCGAACGCGAAAAGCAAAAAAAGATAGCTATGTAAAAGTTCCTGTTTCATAACTCGCTATATTCAATTTTTGTATATAAAAGTTGCAAAAACTACCACATTGTCATATTGTTTTTTAATGTTATTAGGCTCTTGTTTATCCAAATTTTCAGATAATAAAGAGAGATATACAATTTGGATGTTACTTGTTGTTGTAGACGTTTTTTTTAAATTATGGCTCACTATTATAAAATCATATAACGCTGTTTGCAAGTGGACTACTCATTTGTGCAATATTAAAAAAAAAATTCAACAAACTTTCGTACAAATTTCGAACTTTTAAAAATTCTAAAAAACCAATCGACATTTTTAGCCATTTGAAACGTGTACTTAATTCTACTTGAATTCAATGGGCTACAAAACTGCACACTCAGAATTTAATTAAAAAACTCGAAATTTTAACGAAAATTTGTAGAATTTTTTTTAACTGCATAAATTTTTAAGGCAGTGTCACTCGATTGGTACATTTGTACAGATTTGTAAATTTTTATATTGGGCTATTGGTAAAAAAAAGTGGGACAATTTTTATTTTTGCATTCAAAAGATTGGTACAATAAAGCGATGTTCTATTGAAAAATTTCAATAAATCAATTTTCGTGATTGGGATAGTGAAAAATATTTTGGGTGTTCAAACAATTGGGATACGATTTACACCAAATTTTAGCAAATACCCAATCGTGCCTTTAAACTTGTATTTATACGGATGTTGGTAAAGAACGAACTATAAAAAACTAACCGAAATTAAATAACAACAAAAATAATATTTTAAAACTTGTCAAAATTTGGTTCGGCTGTAATTTTTTCGACTACTGTACATAAGTTGGCTATGATTACTCGGCCGTGCTATCATAGTAGCGCAATGCCACTCATATTTGACTTACAAACAAACTACGGGCAGGAATTTCAAGATTTCAACCCTGTTTTTATGAACAATTTTATTTTTTTCAGTATTTTTCTTTTAATCAAAATATGTTGAAATAGAAGCGAAACTAAAAAAAAAATTTGCCAAAACACCAAAAAAAAAATCCTGGCTACGGCCCTGATAGGTGCCCTTCTTTATGGCGAAGACGGACTATAGCAAAGGGAGAAGCGCCCATGGCTAAGGCTTTCCACTGCGTTTCAAATCAAGTGAAACACGCTCGCGTTTTGATCAAGACATTATAAAAAGTCTATTTTTTATTGATAATTAAAATATAAGGACATATGCAAATAGAAATAGGTATATGTTTTTTTCGTTGAACTGAACTTTGCGGTGGCCGTTTTCCCGTGTGCGCGCGGTGATGGTTGATTTTGGGGTGGTTTTCCTTTTTTCACTTTATTTTTGTTATAACGAAAAGTTATGCAAAGGTGCAGAGAGGGCATTAAGGTGCTCCTTCATTACAATCGGGCGATTGTACAAATGTATTTACGATATTCTGCTTTCCCAACACCGTCGCTTCACATACGGACCAATCTCTTTTTTCCCAATGTTGGTGCTTTGCGCAACTGTCTCACAGACAATATAAGCACGGGTATTTGGTGTATCTACTTTGCTGTCCTAATAGGAAGTTAAATATTTTAAGATCAACACAAATGCTCCATTGTTGTTCATTATATTTAATTTTGTCCAACACATGTGAATTATTTTGATAAATTTATTTTATCTTTGTTGAATGTGCAACTCATCCATAATTAAAAAAGGACACACTTAAGGCTTCGTTTAGAACTGTCTATCAAAACACGTCATTCGGTTGGCTCGTATTCCGAAAGACCCATTTCCAGAATAAGGCCCTTGCACATCAGCAAAAAACAATATCATTTTCCGAATGGAAAAATGGTAGCAGGTAGTGCTCCCCTGTACGATAGTATCTCACTTTTGTACCTGTCATTAACCAAGTTTTTTCTTTTAATCAAGAAGCCAATACTTCTGCAGATTCATTTAATTCCTCTTGGGAGAAAAGGTTTTGGATTGTAGACGTTATTTCTTCGGAATCACTGTCACTGCTCACCCATCGGATGATGGGTCATAGAATTAAAACAGAAGTAACAGTCATCAAAGTGATTATTCTGTTATTTTCATTGCATAGGCACTCCGAACCTTATAAAAAATGTGCACACTAATGTATTAACTTCAGCTAATACACAAAACTGAAGTTAATTTCAAAACTACATCCAGAAAGACAATAAGTATGGTCAATTAAAAAATTAGTATCTTTATTCTCATGCGAATAACTTTCACTTTTTTGTGTGGATTTATTTATTTGTCTTAAATTTTTTCATAAATATGTTCCTTTAAGATTATAAATATAGAAAAATTTCCGAAAGTCGTTTTCCGATATATTTTTTATAGTGTATGTAAATAGGAAATTTTCCCACTTTTGTTTGTATTTATCTTGAAAACGTGTAATTGTAAATAAAATTGAATTATTATTGAAAGATACAAATTTAAAGACATTTCGTCCCTAGACACGAATAAAGGCGCGAGCTCTAAAATTGACCGCGAAAACAGACGCATAAAAAAACTTCAGCGAAGAAATACTCTTAACATAGCTGACGGCGAAGAAAGACGAGTAAACTTTTTTTTTGGCGGTCAACTATGTTTGCGGGTGTAACAGTGTGTAAATTCCCTAAAGAGTTTTTAGGGAATGGTGCTGAAGTGACAATCCTTGGCCAGGTATAAATCAATGTTAACGCGTCTTTCTTCGCCGTCAACTAGGTTACGCGTCTTTCTTCGCCGAATTTTTCTTAAGCAGTCAAAACACTAGCGCGCTTTATTCGTGTCTAGTGGCGATTTCATTTGATCTACTTTTTATTTTGATTGGTTAAAGAATTATCCAAATATTAGAAATTTTTATGATCGATCTTTTTTCTCTAATCGGAAACCGTTATACGCCGATATCCCAAAAACTATACTTAGGATAAAAAATTAGTTTCTAGTTAAGTAATATATTATATGTAAGGTCCTAGATTGCAAAATAATGCTGCACCAAAATCACTGTTGACCAGTGATTTCTTCTTTTCTCTTATAAAAATATTTTTCTTTACTTCTTCTACTTTTACAAAGCATTACACAAAGCTCGCACTCACCGCTGTCTGCTTTTGAACTTGGTCCGAAAATAGCAACCACTCCGTTGTCGATTAGATTGCAAGCTGGACAGATAAAAATATGTACATATTTACGGTTTTTATTATAAATAACTTTCCCACCTTCGCGTTGTAGTAGCATGCTCCCGTCTGTTTCACTTAAGCGTCTTATTAGTGGCAACATTTTAAAGTTGTCTTTCTTCTCATTGTTAATACTATCCACAGTTGCAATAAAAGTTCGCTCCAGGTCATATTCATTTTCGTAGAATAATGCACCTAGTAACAAGTAATAACAATTTGTAATTTTTGAAACAGTAATTAAAAACATGTTTTTTTACCGATGTTAATTTGCTGCAACGCCAATGCGTTTATTGCACAAATAAAAATCAATGGCGCAAGGATTGAATATTTCCACATTTTATAACTTAACATTTATGTAAGAACATACTCTATTCTAGGCACAATGAGATCTCGGAGACAACTAAAATTTTAAATTCTCAAAAACTCGTTTTCCATGCAGAATGTTCATTGCGATGGTATTTTGTAATGTACTAGAGGGCTGCATGAATTCATTCAAAACGGCTTATGAGTTATTCATATACAAAACGAATGAATGATTTTGGCTTAAATTTTTTTTGAATTTTACATTACAATATTCAAACAAAGTGAAAATAAATTGAATTTAAATATATGAACATTTTTTGTATGAATAACCAAAAATATTTTTATACCTTTCATTAGCATGAAATGGTATTATAACTTTGGTCCGATGTTTGTAAGTACCAGAATAAGAAGAGATAGACCCATTAAATTGTATACATAAATGATCAGAACGTCGAGCTGAGTCGATTTAGCCATGTCCGTCTGTCCGTCTGTTTGTATGCAATCTAGTCTCTCAGTTTTCGAGATATCCGGATGAAATTTGGTATGTGGGTGTATTTTTATAATGTATTAATAATTTGTCGGAACCGGAAGAATCGGACCACTATAACCTATAGCTCCCATACAACTGATTGTTCAAATATGAGATTTTTCGTTTGTAGGTGTTCTGACCTAGCTCGTTATAGATATAACACCGTGCGATAGTAAATTCATATATAGTAAAATAGCGTTTTTAGTTTTTCACTCTGACGTCAGTAATTCAAAAATGATTTCAAAATTCGGTGAAATGTCCTTAGAGAAGAAGTATGGGTTCCAAATTAAAGAGAAAATGCTGTAGAATTTAAGCGGATTCAATTTTTGTGTTGCATAAGGACTGGTAAGTATTGAAAATGTCCTTTTAAAATTGTATCCCTGAAACTTCGCAATATTTGTTTTTTAAAAAATGATATGTTAAGGACTTATATAAACTCGATAACATCCTCGAATTTGGTCGTTTAACTTTATTTTTTTTTTATTCTAAAGAAATTTCCTCTTTTATTTCATATATTTAAANATTCAAAACGGCTTATGAGTTATTCATATACAAAACGAATGAATGATTTTGGCTTAAATTTTTTTTGAATTTTACATTACAATATTCAAACAAAGTGAAAATAAATTGAATTTAAATATATGAACATTTTTTGTATGAATAACCAAAAATATTTTTATACCTTTCATTAGCATGAAATGGTATTATAACTTTGGTCCGATGTTTGTAAGTACCAGAATAAGAAGAGATAGACCCATTAAATTGTATACATAAATGATCAGAACGTCGAGCTGAGTCGATTTAGCCATGTCCGTCTGTCCGTCTGTTTGTATGCAATCTAGTCTCTCAGTTTTCGAGATATCCGGATGAAATTTGGTATGTGGGTGTATTTTTATAATGTATTAATAATTTGTCGGAACCGGAAGAATCGGACCACTATAACCTATAGCTCCCATACAACTGATTGTTCAAATATGAGATTTTTCGTTTGTAGGTGTTCTGACCTAGCTCGTTATAGATATAACACCGTGCGATAGTAAATTCATATATAGTAAAATAGCGTTTTTAGTTTTTCACTCTGACGTCAGTAATTCAAAAATGATTTCAAAATTCGGTGAAATGTCCTTAGAGAAGAAGTATGGGTTCCAAATTAAAGAGAAAATGCTGTAGAATTTAAGCGGATTCAATTTTTGTGTTGCATAAGGACTGGTAAGTATTGAAAATGTCCTTTTAAAATTGTATCCCTGAAACTTCGCAATATTTGTTTTTTAAAAAATGATATGTTAAGGACTTATATAAACTCGATAACATCCTCGAATTTGGTCGTTTAACTTTATTTTTTTTTTATTCTAAAGAAATTTCCTCTTTTATTTCATATATTTAAAATTACAAACGGCCTCAAGCTCAATAAAAATTGTTGAATATAATTGTTATAAGGCCATTAAATAACAAAAACAAACTACAAAGTCCTTTAAAATAAATCCTGACGTCTGAGAGAAAAAATAAAAATTCCACTGTCAATTTTTATTGTGGCGTATTCATATTTATTTAAATAGTGTTATTGAGCTTTGTACCACGATTTGTTTGTTAGCAAAAATGAAAAAAACAACAATGCTTAAGCGGTAGATTCAGGAATATCGGAGTTTTCCGATATTTCAATAACTGATGACGCTAATTTACTCCAAGTTAATAGTTACAACAATCTATTAACAATAAATAAGACTGCTATACACTGAGGGAAATAATGCATAGTAAAAAGTAACCCTTTATATTTGATTATCGTTTAAAAATGTTCGTATTTAAAAATAATATTTTCGTACAAAATTTATTACGCAAGTATTTGACTGTTCACATCTGAGTATGTATATATAAGTGTACATACTAGAGGTATACGCCGCCGAGCCACGCCGCCGCCGCCGCCGTTTTTTGTCATTACTCACGCGCCGCCGCCGAGTTACGAAAATATCGGCGCGGCGGCGGCGGCGGCGGCGTTCGGCGCCTAAGGAATTTTGTACAAAGTTTTCATGAAACGCATCGCTTGAAGGAACTACTACTACAGAATATATAACAATTTTTTTCAATACCACAACAATATTCCTTTTTTACAGATTACTACAACAACAAGAAAGTTGTCACACACCAAAAGACTTTAACGATAATATCTCAGAAAGCAGTTTTAACAGAAGTGCCCTTATTGCATCTAACTCCTCGATTATTGGAGATAAAACAAAAACAAATTGATCTTCTTGTGTATTTTTTCTTTANAACATCATCTGCAAACATCAGGCAGTTTGCAAAATTAAAATAGTTAGGCAAGTCGTTTATAGAATAAACAACAGTTTAGAATAAACAACAGTGGTCCACAATGCGTGACCTGTGGTATGCCCGACCATGCATTAACTGTCACTTGAGATGTTGTTACCCCAATTTGCACAAGTAACTTTCTTTGCGTTAGACCCTCTTCGGTTCGCCTATCCATCAGCGCCAGGCACTCAAAATTTTAATTCAAGTAGGAAGTAACAATATTTAAATTTAAAACTAATTTAATAAGGAATGCCTAACGCTAACGAGATGACATGATAAGATTAGTAGCCTCATGGCTCTTTTGGGCAGTAGCGCCGGCCTTTACAGACGCGCCGGCGTCGCCGCCGCCGCCGATTATTTTTGAAGTTGACCACGCCGCCGCCGCAAAGCCTGTCGGCGTAAACCTCTAGTACATACGCACCCCAAGCATGCAGAGCGCCGCTCTGAGAGCCGTGACAACACAAACATACATACATAGTACAAATCGCGTATTCAACATTTGAACGCAAATTTATATGTCTGGATGTAGCTGAGTGCGCAAAGATGCTTGCCACAAGTTGTTGATATCCGGAGATGGTCGGGTTCGAATTCCACTGCAGGCAGCATGCAAATTAATTTTTTTTTTAGTTTTAGTTTTAGTACGAACGCGGTCATTTTAATATGCGCGTAATTGAATTGAATATTTACCAATACACAGTACTTTCGTTGATGTTTATAGTAAGATCAATTACGTTTCTACTTGATTTTAATATTTTTTTCCCTCAGTGTAGATTTTCAGGAATTTGGCGTGGCACCGCCCACTTTATAACTACCAAGGTGTACCTCGGTAACCACTAAATCGATTTGTACCTAACTAGGTTCAATTATATTATTAAGTCTAACTCTGCATATTATCGAAAACGTTTGAAATCGGGTAAAGATCCCTACTTATCATGCAAAGGTGATTCAGATAAAGTTGAAACGATGATAATTGATGTCTGCGCCGGGTATACATGTAGGGTTCGGTTTCGCCCGAACTTATACTTCTTTATTTGCTTGTTATAACTTCTCAATTTATGCAGCTAGGGAATGTAATTTTGCACAGTTTTCACTCATTATTAACATAATACTTACAGTGAAAATAACAAAGATCGGGTTACTAAAATATACATCTCTCATACAACTGATAGTTCAGATATGAGATTTTTCGTTATAAATCTATTTTCACCCATTATTAACAGAATACTTACAGTTAAAATTACAAAGATCGGGTCACTATTACATATAGCTCCCATACAACTGATTATTCAGATATGCGATCTTTTGTTATGACTCCTCCATTTATGCAGCCGGGAACATGAAATTTCGCAATATTTTCACACATTATCAAAAGAATACTTACAGTGAAAATGGCGAAAATCGTGTCGCTACAACCTATAGCCTCCATACAACTGATTGTCCGGATATGAGATTTTTTGTTATAACTTCCCCATTTATGCCGCTAGAAACATACAAATTTCGCACTATTTTTACTCATTATCAACAGAAAGTTTACAGTGAAATGAAGAAAGATCGGGTCACTATAACCTATTTATTGTCTTCATACAACTGATTGTTCAGATGTGGGGTTTTACTGTAAAACTCCTTTGTTAGAACAGCTAAAACCGATACATTTCGTAAGCTATTTTATAAATAATAATACAAAGTCTACTGAGAATCTATGCTGTATAAGCTTTATCTCCTATACCACTGACTGTTCAAATACCAGTTATTGCGATATATCTCCTTTATGTAAGATTCTAAACCCATTAAATTGTATTATCGGTTTACATACCGATCACACAGCAGTGCAAATCACTGGTTGCTGGATTGGTGCTATATAAGGTATCCCAGCGAACGGCAGTGCGCGCGAGTGACGAAAGCAGCCACAGTAGCATGCTGAAATGACTCGCTTATATATACACGAGATTTGGAAGTTTTTATCCAGACGTCCAATCGACATGTTTGAGATATCGTGTGTCCAGAAAATGTATTCAAGCTTCATAAGCGATTAACCGGATTCTTAAAAATTAGGCTAAAGTGTTGCGAAACAAAAAACGTTTTTTTGATTTTGCCGGTTTAAGGGGGCATGTGGGCACACCCAACATATTTAGTGTTATTCTATAGGCCAATACCTTTCAAACGATACCTTAAATATTAAGTTCCGGCCACTAGTTGGAAAGATATAGAGGTATATGTGTTTTGGTTCGTGTCTCCACTACGAGATGCTTTGGTATGTATGTGTCGTCTGTACGT